CCTTTTCATCCCGATCCGCTCGGTGGATGTGAGGGAGCGGGAGCTCTGATGACTGAGCGGAGTCTTCGGCGCGGCGTCTCCGCTGCTTGCGAAGTGCATTGCGGTTGTGGGCGTCTCCAGCGAGGACCTCGCCATTCAGGGGACGGGGGGGGGGGGTCTGCAGGTTAGTCTTGGGGTAGCCAGCCCGCCAAGTCGGTCTTGGAGACGTTGAATTTTGGGTATTGGGGCTCATGTGGTGTAAGTGCGGATCTGATGCCTTCCATGGCACGGCATTTGTCTTGCCTGTACTTTTGTCAGTTGCTCTACCATTTGCAGGAAGTCTACGCCATGTGATGACTCAGAAAGTTATTCGAAGTCCTTTTCATCCCGATCAGTTCTGCTGAAGTGAGGGAACCAGAGTTCTGATGACCGAGAGGAGCCTTCTTTGGGCGCGTCTCCGCTGCGTGCGAAGTGCAGTGGTGTCCACGAGGTGTAGGTGCACATCTGATGTCTTTCGTGGTGGGGCAGTTCTTTTTCCTGCGCTTTCGCCTGCTATAGTTCTGTTTGCACGAAGTCTTCGATCCAGAGTCATGTGACGAATCAACCAAATACTCAGAGTCCTTTTCATCCCGATCCGCTCTGTGGATGTGAGGGAGCGAGAGCTCTGATGACTGAGCGGAGTCTCTCGGCGCGGCGTCTCCGCTGCGTGCGAAGTGCATTGCGGTTGTGGGCGTCTCCAGCTAGGACCTCGCCATTCAGGGGACGGGGGTGTGGGAGCGGGTCTGCAGGTTAGTCTTGGGGTAGCCAGCCCGCCAAGTCGGTCTTGGAGACGTTGAATTTAGGGTATTGGGGCTCATGTGGTGTAAGTGCGGATCTGATGCCTTCCATGGCACGGCATTTGTCTTGCCTGTACTTTTGTCAGTTGCTCTACCATTTGCAGGAAGTCTACGCCATGTGATGACTCAGAAAGTTATTCAAAGTCCTTTTCATCCCGATCAGTTCTGCTGAAGTGAGGGAACCAGAGTTCTGATGACCGAGAGGAGCCTTCTTTGGGCGCGTCTCCGCTGCGTGCGAAGTGCAGTGGTGTCCACGAGGTGTAGGTGCACATCTGATGTCTTTCGTGGTGGGGCAGTTCTTTTTCCTGCGCTTTCGCCTGTTATAGTTCTGTTTGCACGAAGTCTTCGATCCAGAGTCATGTGACGAATCAACCAAATACTCAGAGTCCTTTTCATCCCGATCCGCTCTGTGGATGTGAGGGAGCGAGAGCTCTGATGACTGAGCGGAGTCTTTCGGCGCGGCGTCTCCGCTGCGTGTGAAGTGCATTGTGGTTGTGGGCGTCTCCAGCTAGGACCTCGCCATTCAGGGGACGGGGGGGGGGGGGCGGGTCTGCAGGTTAGTCTTGGGGTAGCCAGCCCGCCAAGTCGGTCTTGGAGACGTTGAATTTAGGGTATTGGGGCTCATGTGGTGTAAGTGCGGATCTGATGCCTCCCATGGCACGGCATTTGTCTTGCCTGTACTTTTGTCAGTTGCGCTACCATTTGCAGGAAGTCTACGCCATGTGATGACTCAGAAAGTTATTCAAAGTCCTTTTCATCCCGATCAGTTCTGCTGAAGTGAGGGAACCAGAGTTCTGATGACCGAGAGGAGCCTTCTTTGGGCGCGTCTCCGCTGCGTGCGAAGTGCAGTGGTGTCCACGAGGTGTAGGTGCACATCTGATGTCTTTCGTGGTGGGGCAGTTCTTTTTCCTGCGCTTTCGCCTGTTATAGTTCTGTTTGCACGAAGTCTTCGATCCAGAGTCATGTGACGAATCAACCAAATACTCAGAGTCCTTTTCATCCCGATCCGCTCTGTGGGTGTGAGGGAGCGAGAGCTCTGATGACTGAAGGTAGCCACTGGGCGCGTGCCTGTGCTTCTGCCTGTTGCAGTTTTGTTTGCAGAAAGTCTTCGGTCCAGCGCCATGTGATGACTCAGCAAGTTATTCAAAGTCCTTTTCATCCCGATCCGCTCTGCGGATGTGAGGGAGCTGGAGTTCTGATGGCAGATGCATCTTTGGGCGCGCGGCTCCAATACGTGTGATAGTGCACTGTGATCGTGGTCGTCTTGAGCGAAGGCCCCACCGTTCAGGAGGTGGGGCAGGCGGAGGAGTTGCCAGGAGACTGTTTTTTTAGGGTCGGGCGATAACCCGTGTTGTCGGGCTTGCCCCCCCCCCCCCCCCCCCCCCAGGATAACCTAACCTTGCCGATACTGCAGGTCCGCGGGAGGGGGGGCGCGGGCAAATGCAGGGCTGCCCACAGCGCGAGAGTTAGGTGATCGGCTGGCCCCGTCCTCCTCCTCCTCCTCCTCCCCCCCCCCCCCGGAAGATAACCCGGGTTATCGCCGATTCAAAAAAAGGTCTCCAGGCCGCCCCGCGCCCCGCGCTCCCCGCTTCCGTGCCGCAGGCCTTGCTGCCCGGCGCGCGCAGGCCTCGTTTTTGGCTGCCGCCCGTCCTCTTGGGCGGCCGCCGACCCAAAAAAGTCTGCGGCGCCTCGCCCCGGCGGCTCCGACGTTAAAAGTCGGGCCTGTCCCTCTATAGGAGGAACATTCAAGAATGGTAAAACATCGTTTTTTTTTTTTTTTTTTTTTTTTTTTTTTTTTTTTTTTTTTTTGTTGTTAAAAAAATATTTATATATATATTATATATATATTTTAGGGTATTTGTGACATTTTTCACATATATATAGATTGTTCGTCCAAGATCCCCCTGTAGGGGGACAGGCCCGACTGAACTCTGGCGGGAGACGCCGTGCGCTCCAGGGATTTCGCACTCTGCGGGCTCCGCCGCCGGCGAAACGACCAGCCACGGGGAGGAGGTCCGAGGCGGGAATTTATAGATGACCACCGCCTGGAGGATCAATTTTCGGGGAGCTCGCAGGCGGTGGATATGGATGTATTCGGGCCCCCGGTGTCCTAAATATATCCACATCCGCCGCCCGCAGGGGCACCAGGACGTCGTTTCCCAGGCGGTGGATATGGATAAATCCCCGCCTCGCAGGAGCGGCGTCTGGTGGCCTGGTGCTGCCGCCGCGCTTCGCCCTGATCGGAGTCCGTCCAGGATGACGCCTCACAGTCAAGACGCTGAGCTGAGGACCGCTTTGGGCTCAGGAAAGGCTTGGGCTATCGGGCCGTTCGTGAGATGGGTCGGACCCTGTTTGTGGCCTAGGCCCGCCGTGGCCAGAAAAGCCCAGTAGTTCCTTATTGTGCGTCTCTTCTGGTTGCAAGATGACTGCAGTCGAGGCCGGTAGCTGGCAGGACATCCGAAGAGAGGTCGTTACCGGAGTCTGGTGGACGGCCTGGGCCAGCAATTCGTTCGGCCTATCGCAAGCCATGGTCGAAGCGAGGGGTGCAGCTCCCCGAGTTTGGGTAGGCGGAGCGTGGATTCCAGTCGCTTCGCGTGGGCGTCGTGGCCACGGCAAGCTCGTTCCCCCATCCCCTACTTGAGTAATCATTTGGTATGTGTTAGGTGTCCTGTGTTATGTTCCGCGGGAGCTCCGTTTCCCAGTGTGTGCTGGCAGGACATGCTGGTGATCCTGATGTCTTTGAAAAGTCTTCTTCCGACAGGCTCACTGGCAGCCTCACGGGGTCCTACGACCAGCTGATCTACCCTTACACTGGTTCGACTGGTCCGTGTGAAGGGCGGAAGTGGTATGCGTTCCTCGGGGCCCACCTGCTGGATCACAATCTGCTCCCCCCTCTGCGAAGGGCTTGCCTCGACGCGGGCTGGCAAGCTGCTCGGTCCCCGTCTTTTGGAGGTCGTCTGATGTGTCCAAGCTCTTGCCCTGATGTGTCCAAGCTCTTGCCTGCGATTCCCCCTGGCTTTGGATCAAGGCTGGGTCCTGCCTTCCATCCCGTCCCTCCTCTCCACGCCCTCTCCTCCCTCCACTGCGCACTGCCCCAGCGATCTCGGACGAACGTGGATGGGGGACGAGGGGGGGAAGCAGGAAGCGGCAGGAGGAGGTAGGAGGAGCAAGAGGCGGAGGAGGAGGAGGAGGAGGAGGAGGAGGAGGTGGAAGAGGGTGAAGGAGGGGTAGGAGGATGGCGAGGATGATGAGGAGGGGCATGAGGGATGATGATGCTGCTGATGCTGATGCTGATGATGATGCTGCTGCTGATGATGCTGATCATGACGATGATACTGATGGTGATATTGATAATGCTGCTGATGATGATGATGACGATGAGGATGATGATGCTGATGAGGAGGATGAGGAAGACCAGTGTAAACCCAAGACGCACCAACAATGTTGCAATAAGCTCTCCATCCAAGTTCCTTGTTCAACAGGTCTCTACAACTTTTAATTCGTTGCGGGAAGTGGCCCATTGAAAGACAACCTCCCGAACAGTCTAAGAAAGGAAGGATGTCTCTCTCCCAGACCCCCAAAGGGGGAGATGCCTCGCCAGGACCAGAAACATTCAATAGCATATCAGTTGTATTATGATTCTGGCACCCATCACTCTCGTAAATCATTTGAGAATCCTTGATGGTGCCCGAAACACAACTCCTGAGACTTAAACGCCGCGAATCAACGTGACTGGTGCGTCCTGACCTGAGTCGTGCCAGAACTCAATTCCTGCGTGACTATTGCGTCCTGACAGTCCCAAATCGTGCCAGACCACTATTCCTGCAGGCTTTTAAGAAAAGTGTGCGCGGTGCCATCGAGAGAGTTCTATTTTGAAACGGCCCTCCCTCCATCCGTGAAGCTATTGCAAGTTTCAAGCACCAGGATCATAAATGGCGAGGTCGTCTCAGGCGAAACGCCCAGCCCGGCCTCGGGAACACGTCTGGGGGTGCGACAGGGAGTTACTCGTAAGGAAGAGGAATGGAGGAGGAGGAGGAGGAGGAGGAGGAGGAGGAGGAGGAGGAGGAGGAGGAGGAGGAGGAGGAGGAGGGAGGAGGAGGAGGAGGAGGAGGAGGAGGCGGAGGAGGAGGAGGAGGAGGAGGAGGAGGAGGAGTCACTCGTGAGGACAAGGGGTGGAGGAGCCAG